TAGTATTGGTAACTATGAAGGCCCCTACATTAGGCCCATAAACCCCCAAACCCTAGACCCTCAACCCTAAAGCCCAAAGCCTCACATAAAACCCTAAACCCTAAGCTCCCAAGGTCTCAAAACTAAACCCGAAGGCCCCGGTCTCTGATACCCTAAACCCTAAACCCGAAACCCTAAAGCCTTCATTCCGACGGCCCTAAACCCTGCATAGGTTATAGGGTTTCGAGTTTAGGGTTTAGGGGTTTAGGGTTTAGGGTCTAGTTCATCGGGTTTATAGAGGTTGAGGGGTTTAAGGGTTAGGGTTTGTTTATCGCATAAAACAACATTTGTAGGGTTTCTAGTTTAGGGTTTGGGGGCTTCGGGTTTGTTGGAGCTTATAAGGTTTATAGGGTGTAACCCTCAACCCTAAACCCTAAACCCTAAACCCTAAACCCTAAACCGTGGTGTAGGGCCTAAGCCACCGTAAGTTAGGCGATTGACGAAGTCATCGCACTCCTCGGCAGCGTGCACGCTGAGAGTCTACGGCTGAGCGATGCTATCAAGGACCGATTCGGGCAAGGTCTGGTGGGCTACCCTAAATGGGAGTTTCCGAAAATTAGGGGTACCTTATTTGGGGGTCCTTATATTAAGGATCCTATTATTTAGACCCCTGGGAGTTTAGGGTTTAGGGTTTTACGGTTGAGGCTTGAGGCTTTAAGGTTGAGGGTCTAGGGTTTTGGGGTTTATGGGCTTAATGTAGGGGCCTTTATAGGTACCAATTAATACTCCTAAATCCTAAGCCCCAAACCCAGCTCTAATATCGCGCAGAGTTTAGACCTTCGTCGGGGTTTGAGGTTTATGTGCTCAGGGGTCCTGCGTTTATGTTTTTATTTCTGCACGGTTGGCATGCTCCTGTTCGGGATTGTGGGTTTGGTTTAGGGCCAAAAGGTTTAGGGTTGAGGATTTAGGTGTTTTTTTGGCAATATTGGGTTTTTGCGAGGCAGTCAAGTGCTGCGCTGTCGGCGCGGCTTGTCTACCACTGCTTGCTGCACTCTGCCCTCTCGTCAGAAAGCTACGATGCTGGGCACAGCCCTAAACCCCAAACCCCAAACCTCTAAACCCGAAGCCCTAGACCCCAAAACCCTAAACCCCTAAACCCCAAACCTCTAAACCCTAAATCCCAAACCCCTATACCCTAAATCCCAAACCCCTAAACCCTAAACCTCAAACCCCAAACCCCAAACCCCAAACCTCTAAACCCTAAACCCCAAACCTCTACACCCGACACCTGCGGAAGAGCTGCCGCTACAGCATGGTGTGGGAGCAGTCTCAGGTTTTTTGCAGACCCAACATCCCAACAGAAAGTGCTTAGTGATTATTGTTCGTTAGGGGTTCGGGTTTAGGGTTTAGGGGTTTAGGGGTTTAGGGTTTAGTGATGACGGGGCTAAATCTTAAACCTTAAAATCTCACAGCCCAGCTTCTGCCTCAGACTCCATTGGGCCGTTTTTTGGGTACCTTGGGGGAAACATGAAGATATGGGTGGTTCCCTAAACCCTAAACCCTAAACTAGGGTCCCCTTTTACGTCCCCTATACAATACGGCACCCTTATCAAAAGGACCCTAAAAGGGACCCTAATTTAGAAAAACCCCTAAACCCTAAACCCTAAACCCAGAAATCCCAAACCCCAAATCCCCCATTCGGGTAATAAGGACCCTCAAAGGGACCCTAATTTAGACCCTAAGCCCTAAACCCTAAACCCTAATATATGGCTGATTAAACGGAAAGGGGAACTAGAAGCTCAACATGCTCACTAAACCACGCTCGAGGTGAACTGTTTAGGGTTTAGGGTTTAGGGTTTTGGGGTTTAGGGTTTAGGGTTTAGGGTTTAGGGTTTAGGGTTTAGGGTTTAGGGTTTAGGGTTCATCCAGGACCTTCCGGTACCCTCGACACCCAAAGCTTTAAATATAGAAGTAGTACACATGCTAAAGACCTTACTCTTGAATTACTCTTGGCTGTAGATGTCGGAAACCCAATTTGGAGTGCACAAGAGCAGCTAAGCCTGCCATCCCAGCGAAATGTAGACTTTGCACACAGGATTTCTACCCATAGTCTCCATTTTAGTTCCTTTTTTTGGTTAAACCGACGACATATTAAGGACCCTATACGGTAGCCCCCAAAAAAGGAACTACAATGGAAACTCTAGGTCAGACCCAAAGCTCCCAAACCCTAAACCCTAAACCCCTAAACCCCAAACCCCCAAACCCCTAAACCCCTAAACCCCTAAACCCCTAAACCCTAAACCTGAAACCCCTAAACCTGAAACCCCTTGCAAACGGGGTAGCGCACTCAAGCCCATGCACCGGCGAAGTCCTGCCTTTTTCCTCTCTGCTCGGACCGAAAGGTGCTTGCAACCGGAACGAGTCTGCGAGCTGCTCAAGCTGTCAAGCTTGCACGCCCCCAAAATTTTAAATTTTAAGAGACGTGGGATTCATCTGCCACTTTGGTCTGCAACGAACTAAGGCCTAATTGCTTACGTCGTCTACCAGAGAGTAACTCGGGATCATACACGATTCGCCATTGTCCTTCCCTACGGAGAAACTCAAAGTACTGATGAAGTTCATTGTCCTTCGTTAATGAGTTAGCCAGCTGACTATCACCGTTGACCCACCTAAGCATGAGACCGGTTGACTCCATACTTTCCTTCAGACACAAGCTAGCAATGTCAGTACGTTTTTCGGCTCCCTTCAGAGTCAACACCGTTTGCTGAAGCCGATCATACAGATTCCTACTGTCACTAATGAGAACGCCCTCAATAGTTTGAACAGCATCATCACATGACCATAACGGCACTTGACCACCCTGAAACTCAAACACCTGGAACCTTACTGCATACAACTCATCATCTGCATCCACTGCTGCATGCGTCTCTGCGGCGCCACTGCTTCGGCATGTTCTTTGAATCTTTGCGGACTGCCAGAACATAGGGCTAATGCGGACCAAGGCTCCTTCCAACAACCTTCGAGGGGCCCATCCAATGAGTATCCCTTTTGTTGAACCTCCATCTGGCCTGTGTCCATCTGCTGCGTCCACCCATGCTGCCAGGATTGATGCTTCTTGTCCGTATCCATGGATGCGCATCTTTTGGTGTTGTCCCAGTTTTGCTCGTCGAAGAAGTTTGTTTGTCTCCAGAATGTCATTCACCACGCCTGTGTGGATCTTGGAGAGCAGTAAGCTCACCGGAGCACACCACTGAGGAGCCACCTGACTGGCATGCCATGATAAGGCACCAAGCACACTCCTGAGTTGCTGGAGTTCGGCGGCGTTAATAGGACTCTCAGCTTGTTGCCAACGGGTCCTGCTGACATGGATCTCATTCACAGCTTCTAGATACTCAGGTTGGCTCAGGTGGAACCCTTCTGAATCTTGTTCAATCAGCAACACCCCACACTGAGTGAATCGCTTGCTTTCCCATTGACCCCATTTAAATCGTTCCTGAATCATGCTCCGAATGCGTTGCCACTCTGGATCACCCTGTTTTCCCCCAAAAAGGAAATCATCCACGTGACCACAAACCCAGGCTATAGGTGTACGATCAGCTCTGAAGAAACCCCAACAAGTAGGATCCGAAAGCTGACGTTCCCCTCCGATGGACTCCAAGAATCGAGACACTGATAAGTACCACTGAATTGGCGCCTCCACTAACCCGTATGCTGCCTTGGTCAGGAGCATCGCGCTTCCACTTGGCACTCCTAAGGCCTCACAGATCTCAGGTAGAGGCTCGCACACCATGGGCCGATCGGGGCCAAAACTGTCACCTTGAAGGAAGGCTCCACTGATGTCTCCTTTTTCCACCAGGAAGCCATAATTGGCACATTGCTGTAAGAACAGCTGTCGAGTAGTACGCGCCATTGTTGGACTGCTAGTAGGTCTGTGTTCGTATTGGGGATCCATATAGCCTAATACCACAGCTCGGGCTTTTGGCTTCATAGGATTTCCTAGGTGATCCTTCTTCACTGGATTGTCATTCTTTGGGTCGTCATCAAGCTTCCACGTCAGCAACCACCTCATTTTCAAGATCTGATCCTTACTCGGTTTAAGGTGTTCTGGGAGTTTCTGGAAGGCCTTGGCAATGATGAAGTTTTTGACCTCCTTCTGTTTTGCGGTTCTGAACGCTGCCCGTTCTGCATCCGTAAGTCGTTTTTCCGACACTTCAACGGCATTCCTCTTAAGCTGTTTCACAAAGTAACAACCTAAGTCGCGAACCCACTCCTTTCCTCTTTTTGTGTCAACCTGAGGAAGTTCCAACGAAAACGTCACTGCTGATTCAGGTGTCCTCCAGTAATTCGACTCCTCCTCGGGGAAGACAACTCCACAATCTTCCAAGAAGTCAGCTGCTGTGAGAGGATTCTGCTTCTTAACCGGACGTCCTCGTACCAAGGGGCTTCGGCTTCGGGTGTTGTCTTGAGAACCTACATCTTCCTGTTTTGGTTGGCTTGCTTGGGAACCCTGGGCCTCATCTCTCATAGATCTCTCCACTGGGCTTCTGCTTCGAGGCTCTGGTTCTACTGCGTTTTGTTGTTTGGTGCGCATTCTTCGCATCACCCTAAGGGGAGGTTCACGCTCATCACCATCCGCATCATTATGCACTGTGGGCATGTTTCCTGCATCTTGAGTTAAATCTTCATATTGATGGGGAGGGTGTTTCTGGAGCATGGTTGACAAGGTCCATGGTATGTCACTGGTGCCTTGAAGCTCAGCCCATGCCTCTTCACGGGCGGTGGCTGGACGGAGTTGTTGGGGAGTTGCTTTCAAAAGTTGACCCCCTCTATAAAGCCACACGATATGTCCTGCCCTGAGTTCCTGTCCAGCCTGGCGAGACTCAGTCGCGAGAACCCTGTAGGGACCCACAAACCGACCCCCCTTAAAATGCTTCTGTCCGTCCTGGCGGGGAGTCATTCTGCGCCATACATAGACCAGATCTCCTGGGCTCACATTCGTCATTGGCCGATTTCCTGAGAGCTCTGCGCGACGAAGTCGTTCTTTTGCTTGTTCTCTCAGAAAGGCTTGCTCTGCTGTGATCAGACACCAAAGAAGACATCGTCTCTTTGATCATCTGAACGGAACGCTCCACCACAGAATTTTGCCAATGTGCCTCAGCTGGGATGTGTTGAACCTCAATGCATCGCTCACTCAGATATCGGTCTAACTGATTGCTCCGAAAACATCCCGCAGGATCCAACCGAAGAACCTGAGGTTTTCCGAAATGAGGCAACCAATGACCTTCAAAGAAGTCCACAAAGTCCTGAACCCCTGGAGTCCGAGTTTGATGCTGAAACAAGAGACGACCGACCCTAAGCCGACTACCCTCATCAACCCCCAACATGAACTGCCACTTTGCTTCGCCTTCAGGATGATTCCATGAAAAAGCATCACATTGGAGGGTATGCCATTTGGGAACCAGTTCATTCAAGGTAGCTTGGGTACGCGGATTCGGTCGTCTTCGTTCATCACACACATCACATTGAAACAGCTCAGCGCATCTCAGAACATCCTTACTAGCCCCTCTACGCTTCAGACTAGCCTTAAGGTACTGTACACTGCAGTGTCCTGTGGCAGTATGAATCTTGCGCAGATTCTGGAAAATGCGCTTTCGCGTCTCCCGGGGAATGTCCTGGATGCCCTCAGAGGGAGTCTCGCTGGACTGGTCCGGCTCACTGGTCATGAGACACACATCGCTACCACCTTGAAGCTCTTTAGCAATCTCAAACCAGCTCTCCTTCCTCTGAAGATATCGGATCACTCGACGTGCAAACTCCCTGGTATAAGCCATGGCGTCACCCCTTGGATACGTAGTGGTCCTATCCATGGTATGCTTCTGATCGCACTGAAGGGCCAAATTCTGAATCAGAGCCCCATCACTACTGACCAAGCCCCAACCTTGACACTGAAGAACCCTCTGAAAATTCCTGCGATTCACCTGGCAACCCTTACACACTCCCTCATACAGCCCACGCTCTTGAACTAGGGCCTTGTACCAGCTTTGGTGCCAGAGCTCGCAGTGCTCGGGACTTCCAAGGACACATGTGGTCCCTGCCGATGTTGCTGCCCGAAAGATCCTATTCATCCCTTCATATTGTCGATCAGCTTGTTCCCGTTTGGCCTGGAGCCTCTTGGATTGCTCGGAACTGCGTTGGTTCATCCGTTGCAAAGGAGAATACGCCTGGCTATCAGGACTAAACCACACTAACCTAGGACACTCCTCCTGAATCACCCGTTGGATATACGCTTGTCCCTGAGCAGTCTCAAGATCCCCACCGTTCCAATGAGAAAGCTGAATGGCAGATCCCTTTCCAAACACCCTTTCACACTCCTGAATGAGACAACTATCCTCTTGACCCCCAATCTCAAGAAGCATCACCCTTTTCCCTTCCAAAGCCTGAACCTCAGACAATAAGGCCTGATCATATCCCTGCCCTATACTCCGAGCTGTTTGGAAGGAAAGCTTCTGGAAAATACCGGGTCCTAGGTTCTGCTCAGCATCATCAGCAAGGTCCTCATCGTTGTTCTGGAGGTCGCCCTCTATGAATTGACTGCTGGTCCTGCAGTCTTCTTGGCCGCTGGCTTCCGGTGATCCAATGGCTCGCGATTGCCCATCTCTTGGCGTAGGCGGGAGAGCTCGTTCTCCAGCTCCTTGATCCGGCTCATTGCTTCTTCTGGAATCATCTCCAGATCTTGATTGACCTCCTGGGCCATCTCCCAGGATGTCTCTGAACCAGACGCGGCGCTGGGTGCGCTCAGCCGTTTCGCCGCTGCTGCCTTCGCTGGATAGCTGGGATTCCATGGTTGTCCGATTCGGGCGCGGATTGTCTCCTTCTCGCTCAGGGAGATCCCTTGGGCCCACTGCGCGAACCTCAGGAGCCTCCAGTGACTCTCTGGATTTTCCACTGCTGTGCTGATGCACCACTTCGTGTACTCGGGCTTCTCCACCACCACTTGTTCGTAGGTCATGTCCGAGTGTTTGCCGAAACCCATGTTCTCCCGACCGGAAGGTGTCACTTGGTTCTCCATGAGGTGCTTGTAGATCTTGCTCTTCAACTGGTCGATTGTCTGGGAGGGAGTGAACTCCACCCTGTGCGTCTGCAGCAGTGCCTGTAGCTCTACCTTGCGCTTGCAGCGGTTGATGGTCTTCACCACGTCGCGCTCGGTCATCACTGTTGCAGTGCTGGTCTCCTCCTCTGCCAGCTCCGCCAACCGGGCTGTCAGCTGAACCTTGGTCCACGACGTGGGCGGATTCTCGCCCTGCTGTCGAAGACGATCCTGCATCTCCTTCTTTGTTGGCGTTGCCGTGGGCATGGTGCGGACTTTGGGATGCACGGGTCACAGGACAAGGCGCTGGGAAGTCTTTGGGCTTTTTAGGCTGCAGAATAGAGGAAGGTTTCGAGAAGGGAATCCTACGGGGAATTGGGACTCCGTACTTCCTTAAGAGGGCTCTGTCAGTGGCTCCTACTTTGTGAATTCCGCCTATGGAATAACCAATCATCACAAGTCGATCCCCGCTCCATGCCTCTGTAGCGTGCCACCTCTGAGGACACAGCCTCACGATCTCATCTAATGATTGAACCCTTCCCCACACCTCTTGAGCACCACACATCACCTGTTGACTTCCCATACCTGGCATCTCATTCTCATCCAGCTGAGTCCATATTCCCCCGCCTTCATCTGGTTTAATCAGTGTCACCACCTCATTGCCGGAGCCTGAAAGATTGTAGGAGTCACGGTGTGGAGGTGATTTGATGTTACATGAGATACACACAGACGTTCCGCAAAACCCTGGACACAGATGTTGCATCACATCCATCACCACTCGCGTAACATACGGATACATCTTCGTCACCCTAGTCACTCCCACAATTCCCCCATGCATGTAACATCCAAACACTACATACGCAGGCTCAAGGGTGCTTCCATGGACCAGGTCACGAGTAAAAGGTCGTGCGTTGGCTTCCTGATCAAACAGATGCCATGGAACTCGCTTCAAAAACTGTTGGCGGGCGTGGTTGGATGCCCCGTGCACCCACAGGTGCTTGGCTTCGAGTTCTACTTCCAACTTTAACACACCTAGACTCTTTGGCGATCGCTGTGTAGATCCAAAATCCTGCTTGGTAGACTTCATCTCACAAGTAACATACGCAATATCACAACTAGAATGGCAGATTGAATCCAAACTGTACAAAGCTTCTGGCGCTACAGTCCCTTTTTCCTTCTGGTGATCCGTGGCGCCAAGTGCCACCAGAAGGTGCTGTCCCTACTCCACGGCCATCCTTGTCGACGCCGATGCCTCAGCCTTCAAGCCCTGGAACGGTGTGTTCCGAACATAGGCATCTTGGAGAGCATCACCAGCGAGTGGGAAAAGCTGGTGTCCACTAGGACTTGTCTCTAGTGTCGTGACCTTGTTGGCGTTGACGTTCTTGAAGATGGCCTCGTTGGTCTCAAAATCGATCACAGCACCCAGGGCTTTAAGCCCCTTGACGCTCAACAGCACTGGTTGGCCTGGAATGTCATGAAGGTGAATCTTCATGCGGCTGACATCGCCGCCCAGTCTCAAGTTGAGCAGTGCTGTAGAGAGGCAGTCGTGGCGACCATTGTTCCCGAACCTGAAGGAGGGAGCCTCGCTGTTGACGATCTGAATCCCATCATCGCCCTCCTTTTGCCGGTTCAAGGCCGCCAGCTGTTGCATAGCCTCCTCGGAGCCCAAATTGCTCGTGGCTCCGCCGTCGATGATGGCCTTTCCCTCCTTGATGATCTGGTCCAAGGCAAGGAGGTTGTACTCATCCGTGGACTGTGCCGCCAAAGCAAGATTTTCATCCCATTTTGGCTCTGCAGCTGCTCCTGGAACCTCCACCTCGAGGGCATGGAACACCAAATGTGCCCCTTGGTCTGCACTCTTGGAGTCTCCTTGATTGGGGCAATCTCGTCGTAGATGGGGTCCGCCACAACTGAAACACTTGAGAGGTGGCCTTGCGCCTCCCATGTTTGATCCCTTCGAACTGAAGCCCTTGCCACCGCCCTTGCCAGAATAGAACTGGCGGTTCTTCCGCATCATGGCCTGCTTCTCCCGGGCCTCACGCAGAGTGCGGCGGCCATCTTGGATCGCTGCATAGGCTTCTTGGGCCTCAGATTCCAAGGCTTGGTAGGCGTACTCCTCTGCTGGATCCTCCCATGCCGTGGGTGGCTCCTCTGCCTCATCATCGTCTTCGGCTAACATGGCAGACTCCTCAGTTGTAAACATTGCCACATGTTTCTGAGAGTCATGGCGTCGTAGTTCCTCGTCTGGCCAGGTCAGCTTCAACGACTCCTTGACGCGATCTGTCCGAAACTGATTCTTCAGATTGGCGACGATCACGCTCTTCTCGGTGGAGTCCAAGCCTGACCTCTGCAGCAACAGCCACGCTATCACAAAGTCTGGAAGAAACTTCTCTGCTTGCGCGGATGCTGCTTCAGAAACCTCCCACGTCTTCTGACTCAAGGTTTCCTTCTGTTGCCAGTTGTACCAGCTGCTTCCATACTGCGAGCTTGTCTCCCATTCTAACGAGGAACCCCATGGCCAGGAATTCCACCAGTCATCATGCCATCCGCCTTCGTCATCATCATTCTCCGGCTGTTCGCTTGGTGCAGGCTCGGCGTCATTCGGTGGCTCGGATGGAACCTCCTCTGCTGAAGTTGGAATCCCCTGTCGACTGCCTCCAGCATCTGAGTAAGGCCTGTTCCGACGAGACCACCCGCTGCCAAAGCTTCCTGAGTGAGGCGTCTGGGAAGCTGTACG